TGTGAGGGGAGAATGGAGAGAAACCTCGGCACCACCACCGCGGAGCCGCCCCCGGCTCGACGTGGATCCTCGCCGCCGCCGCCCCGCCTCTCGCCGCCCGACTCGCCCGCCTCCTTCCCACGGCACACCAGGCAACGTCTCGCGGCACACTAGTGTGCCGCGGAACACCAGTTGGGAAACACTGGCATAGGGAATATAAGATCATTCTTTGCCCCAGCTGGACTGTGCCTGCTTTGGAACCCCACCTTTGCAAGAACGTATTGTCCTCAATAAGGGACGCGGGTGGCGCTGTGGGTTAAACCACAGAGCCTAGGGCTTGCCAATCAGAAGGTCGGCGGTTCGAATCCCTCCGACGGGGTGAGCTCGCGTTGCTCTGCCTCTGCTCCTGCCATCCTAGCAGTTCGAAAGCACAAACTGCAAGAAGATAAATAGGTACCTGTTGTAAACAAAATCTGCTCTTATTCCCTTATGGGGGACACAAGAGCCTTTATAGAGTCCTTTGCCAGTTCTCCATCAGTTGGAGAAAATCAAAGAAGCCAACCGGGCAGCTAGTAAGACTGATCTTTATTGAACTGTTGCAACAGGTTGCTCTCCTCACACGCAGGAGAAAGGAGGACCACCCCGAACCAAGGTGTGCCTGCCCTTACATAGACCTTTTAAATTCCCTTCCCTGGAGCTCAAGACCACCATACATACATCACGGAAGGGATGTAACCTAAGACAAATACATCACCACAAACATCATACCTACCGTATTTTTTGTCCCATAGGACGCTCCGTCCCATACGACGCACCTAGTTTTTTGGGGGGAAATAAAGGGAAAATATTTCCCCTTTATTACCCCCCCCCCAAAGCAGGTCGGGGAAACCGAACCAGGTCGAGGAACAGCCGGATGGCGGCGCTGCGCCTCCCTGCTGTCCCCCGAGCTTGTGGGGCTGGCCGATGTCTGCCCCGCGCGAGGGGCGCTCTGCTTCAGGGCGCCCCTCGCGCTGGGCGGCAGGCTGCTATACGCAGCGTGGGGAACCTTGCGGGGAACTCCTGCAAGGCTCCCCACGCTGCGGATGTCTGCCTGGCGCGGGGGCGCTCTGCTTCAGGGCGCCCCTCGCGCTGGGCAGCAGGCTGCTATCCGAAGCCTAGACATCCCTGTCGGACCTCCCGTAGGGCTGCCTAGGCTGCGGGTGTGTTCCTGAAGCCTGGAGGGCGAGAGGGGTCGGTGCGCACCGACCCCTCTCGCTCTCCAAGCTTCAGCAAAAGCCTGCATTCGCCCCATAGGACGCACCCAGATTTCCCCTTCATTTTTGGAGGGGAAAAAGTGTGTCCTATAGGGCGAAAAATACGGTACATCACAGAAAAGGCAGTCTACAACAGAAATTTGACTGTTGTTGTTCCCAGGTTATCTGATAATGCCTTATCTGATTGCCTTTCCTGGTAGTCTGGCCATTCCTTTGAGATGGTGATTACCCAATTCCTGAGACAATGGGAAGGTTCCCTCACTCACCCCCTCCCTCCTTTCAGGGAAAACATTTGGTCGGTTTGGGAGTCAAAATGGTTTCAGGACGGTCTTCCTGTGCTGCTCCAGACACGTGGTCCACGTATCTATGTATGTGCTTGGCTGGTACATTTATGAACATTTATTATATATAAAAGACCTTAATTTTTTTTATTACATAACGCTCCAGCGGGAAGGTAAACAGCCTTTCCGTGCACTGCTCTGGTTCGCCAGAAGCGGCTTAGTCATGCTGGCCACGACCCAGAAACTGTACGCCGGCTCCCTCGGCCAATAAAGCGAGATGAGCACCGCAACCCGAGTCGGCCACGACTTGACCTAATGCTCAGGGGTCCCTTTACCTTTATGCTTGGTAGTAGATATAATAAAATACCTAGAAATGAGACCAGATAAAAAGGCAGCCCTGCTCTTGGTGGATGCGGAGAAAGCATTTGATATTTCAGGGGCATTCATGCAAAAAACTTTGGAAATGATGAGTTTGAGTGAGAAAATATGTAGTGGTATAAAAGCGATTTATAATTCCCAAAAGGTCAGACTAATTATAAATGGTGAAATATCAGAAGCTTTTAATATCTCTAAGGGAACAAGACAGGGCTGCCCTCTTTCTCCTCTCCTCTTTATCACACTTCTGGAAGTATATTTTAAAGCAGTAACAGAAGACCCTAGACTAGAAGGAATTAAAGTTGGACAAAGGGCCTAGAAGGTCAGAGCCTAAGCAGACAATCTAATAATTACAACAGAAAACCCTCTAGAGCAGCAGTTCTCAACCTGTGGGTCCCCAGATGTTGTTGGACTACAACTCCCATCATCCCTGAGCTCTGGCCTTGCTAGTAACATCTGGGGACCCACAGGTTGAAAAAAGCTGCTTTAGAGTAATATTGGAAAAAACAAGGTGAAGAATAAAATACAAAATACAGACTTAAAAGAAAGGGGAGGCTTTTCCCTTAAAGATCTCAAAATTTACTATGAAGCAGCTTGTCTTACTCGGATTCGGGATTGGATTAAATTGGAGAAAGAAGAGGCAATAGAACTGGAAGGACATGACAACAGATTTGGTTGGCATGCATATTTGTGGTATGGGAAAACAAAAGTACACAAAGGACTCCACAATACTATAATAAGTTTTTAATAAAGGTATGGGGAAAATACAAAGAATTATTGGAACCCCAAACTCCATGGTGGCTATCACCCATTGAAGCACTATCACTTAAGACGTCAGCAATGAAAGGAATATGGCCAACATACAGAGAATTACTTATAGAACAAGAAGGAAAGTTAAAATTGAAAGACTATGATGAGATAAAGGAATTTTGAGTGATGGTGATGGATATTTGTTGTAAGAAAGAAAACCAATAAAAATTATTATAAAAAAGAAAAGAAAAGAAGAAAGGTGTTTGGACAATTATCATGATTCAAAATTAATAAAGAAAAAACAAAACGTAAAAAAATTAGATATACAAGAAAAAGTAAACTTAGAAATAGAAACAGGACTTAAAATTACTAACAGAGCAAAGTATTTAGGTATTTGGATAACCATGAAAAACATTAATTTATAGAAAGACATTTATATTAAGGTATGGAACGATATTAGGAAAGACTAATCTGGAGTAAATTAAAACTCACGTTATGGGGAAAATTTCTACAATCAAGATGGTAGCTTTACCAAAAATGCAGTTCCTTTTTCAATCAATTCTGGTTCTTAATGGCTTAAATTGTTTTAAAGAATGGCACAGGTATTTGGCAAAATACATTTGTCAGGGCAAAAAAACCCGAATTAAATTTAAATTATTAACAGAAACCAAAACAAAGGAGGGTTTGGAATGCCAGATCTTAGGATCTACTACGAAGCTGCCTGCCTGGTCTGGCTCAAGGAATGATCTTGAAGAATACTAAATTATTGGATATTGAGGGCTGGGATAATATGGTGCGGTGGCACAGCTACCTGGGTTATTATAAAACAAAAATCCACAATGGATTTCTAAATCACATTATTAGGAAAGCCTTATATGAAATTTGGGAAAGGAACAAAAAAATATTAGAACCAAAAACCCGATGGTGGTTGTCACCAATGGAGGCAGAGGCAGTAAAAAGAAAAAATATGGCAGTGGTGCCCTCCCTGTGGAATACCTTCCCAAAAGATGTCAGCGGAAAAAACAGCCACCAGACTTTAAAAGACATCTGAAGGCTGTCCTGTTTAGGGAAGCTTTTAATATCTGAAGGACTATTGTATTTCAGTATTTTGTTGGAAGCCACCAAGATTGGTGGGGGAAATCCAGCCAGATGGGCGTGGTGCAAATAAAAAATATTATTATTATTATTGCAGTTCTTTTCTGTACATCCAGAGACTTGAAAATCATCTTCACTTCCCAGGAAATCTGGGAAAACTCCATACATTTATATGGTTTCCCGCCTGTGTGAATTATCTTATGAATATTAAGGTCTCCACTCCCTCTGAAGCTTTTTCCACGTTTCATAAATCTGGTTTTCCCCATGTGAGTTAGCGGGTGTTTCCTAAGGTTCCATATTGACTTAAGCTACTCCCCTTTCGAAGTTTGCCAGTGTAATGTAAGTTTATCCTCCCAGTTGAAGCTCTTCCCACACTGAATACGTTCCAATGGTTTCTCCCCTGTATGAGTTAGTTGGTGTATTCTAAGTGCTCTACTTTTGCTGAAGCTCCTTCCACATGCCATACATTAAAATGGTTTCTTCCCCATGTGTTAGTTGGTGTCTTATAAGGTGTCGATATGGACTGAAGCTCTTTCCACATTCAGTACATTTACCGTATTTTTCGCCTTATAGGACGCACCGTCCCATAGGACGCACCTAGTTATTTTGGGGGGAAATAAAGAAAAAAAATTATTCCCCCCCCAGCCGCGGGGGAAGCCCAAGCTTTTAAAAACGCACCTACCATAGTTTTTAGAGGAGAAAAGGATATTTGCCCGAAGCGCAGAGGATATCTGCCCGAAGTTTTTAGAGAAGAAAAGGATATCCACCTGAACAGCAACCTCAGGACAGCAGTAGAGAAAATACAGATAGGGGTCTTGGCGGCAGCTTACCTTCGCACCCCCTCAAGAACCCCCAATTTGTCCTGTGCCACCTAAATGGCTGCCCTGAGCTGATCCCTAAAAACCCCACCCCACTCGCACTCACCCCAAAGCCAAGGCTTTGTATTACCCCTCCCCCAAAAACCCAATTCAAAACACCCTACATGTAACCCCCCCAAAACCTTGCCTCTGATCTCTCATTTCCCCCCAAACCCCCTTGCCCAAAAAAAGAGGGTTCAGACCCCCCTCCTCATCTGGAGGCAGTACCTTCCTTCCTCCACACCCCCTCTATTTAGATCCCTAAACTTACCTACCTCCCCCCTCCCGCCAGAAGATAAAAAAATGCCCCTTTCCAGGAGGAGGAGGAGCAAGAGGTGCTCCCCACCCTGAAAGAGCCCCCTCCCCTAATCAGGCCCCCTCCCTCCCTGTCCTCCCCCTCCCCCCGGGGATTATCTCACCCCTCCTTCGCCTCCTTCCCCGATGCAGCTCTGAGGGGGGGAGTCTGAGGGAGGGGGGAGGAGGAAAAGGGGGGAAGAAGAGGAAAACGGGGGAGGGAGAAGGGGAGGCAGCGCCTGTGGAGGAGGCCGGTCTCCGCGCTGCGCCACAGCAGCAGCAGCAACTGCAGTAGCCGCCTTCCCGCTCGCCTTCCCTCCTCACCTGTCAGCGCCGCCTCCTCCTTCCCGTCCCCTTCTCCGCCCTCCTTCCACTCAGTGCCCCAGTGCTTCGCCCGCCCCTGGTGCCTCAGCCACCTCCTTCTCCCGTCCTCCTTGTGGCAGCGGTGGCGTCTTCCCCTCAGGCAACAACATGGTGGTGGGAAGCAGAGCGGGCGCCTTGCGCTGGGTAGGGGGGGGTTGAACTGTGCTCGCCCGCCCGACCCGTTTCTCCCTCCCTGCCTGCCTGAGCGATAAAAAAGGGGCGTGGCATGCAGGCAACTCTCTGCAAGTTGCGGGAGCCCAGCGCCGGGCTCCCGCGCCTTGCGGAGAGCTGCGCGAAGCCTGGAGAGCCAGAGGGGTCGGTGCGCACCGACCCCTCTAGCTCTCCAGGCTTCAGCAAAAGCCTGCATTCGCCCCATAGGACGCACACACATTTCTCCTTCATTTTTGGAGGGGAAAAAGTGCGTCCTATGGGGCAAAAAATGGCTTCTCCCATGTGAGTTCGTTGATGTTTCCTAAGGTGTTCATTTTGACTGAAGCTCTTTCCACATTCAATACATTTAAATGGTTTCTCCCCTGTGTGAGTTCGTTGATGGCTTCTAAGTATTCCATTTTGACTGAAGCACTTTCCACATTCAATACATTCAAATGGTTTCTCCCCTGTGTGAGTTCATTGATGGCTTCTAAGTGTTCCATTTTGACTGAAGCACTTTCCACATTAAATCCATTCAAATGATGTCTCCCCTGTGTGAGTTCGTTGGTGTCTTCTAAGTGTTCCATTTTGACTAAAGCACTTTCCACATTCAATACATTTAAGTGGTTTCTCCCCGTGTGAATTTTTTGGTGTTTTCTATGGTGTCCACTTTCACTGAAGCTCTTTCCAGATTCAATACATTTAAATTGTTTCTCCCCCATGTGAGTTCGTTGGTGCATTCTAAGTGTTCCATATAGACTGAAGCTCTTTCCACATTCAATACATTTAAATGATTTCTCCTGAGTGTGAGCTCGTTGGTGCATTCTAAATGTTCTATTTTGACTGAAGCACTTTCCACATTCAGTACATTTAAATGGTTTCTCCCCCGTGTGAGTTTGTTGATGGCTTCTAAGGTGTCCATTTTGACTGAAGCTCTTTCCACATTCAATACATTTAAATGGTTTCTCTCCTGTGTGAGTTCGTTGGTGTATTCTAAGGTGTCCATATTGACTGAAGCTCTTTCCACATTCAATACATTTAAATGGTGTCTCCCCTGTATGAGTTTGTTGGTGTATTCTAAGTGTTCCATTTTGACTGAAGCTCTTTCCACATTCAATACATTCAAATGGTTTCTCCCCCGTGTGAGTTCGTTGGTGTCTTCTAAGGTTTCCACTTTCACTGAAGCTCTTTCCACATTCAATACATTCAAATGGTTTCTCTCCCGTGTGAGTTCGGTGGTGTACTCTAAGGTCTCCACTTTCACTGAAGCTCTTTCCACATTCAGTACATTTAAATGGTTTCTCCCCCGTGTGAGTTAGTTGATGGCTTCTAAGGTGTCCCTTGTGATTGAAGCTCTTTCCACATTCAGTACATTTAAATGGTTTCTCCCCTGTGTGAGTTCGTTGGTGTATTCTTAGTGCTCCATTTTCCCTGAAGCTCTTTCCACATTCAAGACATTTAAATGGTTTCTCCCCCGTGTGAGTTTGTTGATGTTTTCTTAGTGCTCCACTTTCACTGAAGCTCTTTCCACATTCAATACATTTAAATGGTTTCTCCCCTGTGTGAGTTCGTTGGTGCATCCTAAGTGTTCCATATCGACTGAAGCACTTTCCACATTCAATACATTTAAAAGGTTTCTCCCCCGTGTGAGTTAGTTGGTGTATTCTAAGTGTTCCATATCGACTGAAGCACTTTCCACATTCAATACATTCAAATGGTTTCTCCCCCGTGTGAGTTCGTTGATGATTTCTAAGGTTTCCAATTACACTGAAGCGCTTTCCACATTCGATACAGTCAAATGGTTTCTCCCCCGTGTGAGTTCGTTGGTGTATTCTAAGGTGTTCACTTCTACTGAAGCTCTTTCCACATTCTATACATTTAAATGGTTTCTCCCCCGTGTGAGTTCGTTGATGTTTTCTTAGTGCTCTACTTTCACTGAAGCTCTTTCCACATTCAATACATTTAAATGGTTTCTCCCCCGTGTGAGTTCGTTGGTGTATTCTAAGCTTTCCATTTCGACTGAAGCACTTTCCACATTCAATACATTCAAATGGTTTATCCACTGTGTGAGTTCCTTGATGTTTCTTTCGATAGTCAGTACATTTAAATGGTTTCTCCTCTATGTGGATTCGTTGATGTGTCCTCAGTCTTCCACTGTGACTAAAGCACATCCCACATTCCAGGCATTTAAACTGTTTCTTTGTTTTTCCCAATGAATTCACAGATGGCTCCATAGAATTCTGGCCATCATCTTCCTCACCTGTTTGAGAGTGGGGGAGGGGGAAGAGAATCCTGTTAAGACTTTCAAGAAAGACAAGAAAGGAACTGAACACATGTCAGTACCAGCATGCACCTTCTCTTATTTTAACACTGTCTCCTTTCTCCACTGTCCTTTCTTATCTTCCAAACTTTTAGGAATGCAGGTGAGATAATGGCAAGAAAAACACATGATCACTGCATTCACACTTAATAAACTGCATTATTTTATAATCTGTGGTGGAATTGGCTTCTTAGACACATCTCTGTATTTCTCTTTGTCCAGGGAGGAAAGGATCACAGGCTCAAGTAGCAGTCTCCCCTATGATTAAGAAGTCAAACTTTCGTGTTACTGTGCCACAAGTAACTGTAAAAATATTGCAATATCTTAGAACAGGCATCCCCAAACTTGGCCCTCCAGATGTTTTGGGACTACAATTCCCATCAGCCCTGACCATTGGTCCTGTTAGCCAGGGATGATGGACGTTGTGGTCCCAAAACATCTGGAGAGCCAAGTTAGGGGATGCCTGTATCAGAACATAAGAAGAGCCTGCTCGATTGGGCAAAGGACGACCTAGTCCAGCATCCTCTTCTCACAGTGGCCAACTAAATGCCTGTGGGAAATCAGCAAGCAGGATTGGAGTACAAGAGCCCTCTGCCTTCCTGTGCTTTCCAGGAACTAGTATCAAGAAGCATTATTGCCTAGGACCACAAGGGAAGAGCACAGACATCAGTCTAATCCTCTTTTTCAAGCTATCCAAGTGACAAAATCAAGGATTAAAAATAAATTATTAACAGATGTAAGAGAGAGAGGAGGTTTTGCCCTGCCGGGTTTGAAACTTTATTATGAAACATCCTGTATCTACTAGAACTGGGAATGGATTACATTGGAAAACACAGATACTGTATTTTAGATCTGGAAGGACACAAATAATGAATAGAATGCATATTTATGGTAGGAAACGGCCAAGGTGCATAGAGCTTTTCAGACTCATATAGTAAGAAAATCAATTTGTAGGGTATGGGAGAAGTATAAAAATTTGCTTGAGTAAAAAACATCCTGGTGGCTTTCCCCCTTGGAAGCAATATCTCTGAAAAAATTTGAATATAAGAAGTAATTGGCCGACTTACAGAGAGGTGTTAAATGAAGTTGAAAACCAACTGGAATTAAAAGATTTTGAAGAGATAAGGGAAGCTGTAACTGACTGGTTACAGTACCATCAACTAAACGATATCTTTAAGATAGACAAATAGAAAGGTTTTAGTTATGAGACATCACAATTTTAAAAAGAACTCTTAGGAAGTAACATAAAAAGATCTCTCTAAAATGTATAACTTGCTCCTAGAACGGTATACAAAGGATGAACAGGTCAAATCAGTTATGACGAAATGGGAAAGGGACTTAGGACATAACATACAAATGGCAGATTGGGAGAGGCTTTGGAAAACAGATCTGAAATTCACAGCTTGTGGTACATTGAAAGAAAACTACATTAAAATGATGTGCTGGTGGTATTTGACTCCTAGTAAGTTATCTAAAACATATAGAGTAAGTTCAAATATCTGCTGGAAATGTAAAGAAGCGGGTACCTTTTGCTATATGTGGTGGCCATGTAAGATAACAGTATCATTTTGGGAAATGATATATAATGAAAAAGTAGAAACATCACCTTGCCAACGAGCGCAGTGAAAACCAGGAAGGAAAAAAAAAAGGCTGGGGAAGGCACGGGATGAGGGGCAGGGGAGCGGGAGCGGGCTTTTTAGTTCTGCAGCTTGTTTTGAGGCAGGATAGATTTGAGCATTGTCTGGGTCCCAGTGCCCCTACTCCTTTTTTAGGCTCCATTCTATTGCTGCCAGTGGCTGCTTATTACTCAAACTGAACCTGATACCAGTAGCCACGTGTACAAACAAAGTAGAAGGCTGCAAGGAGGAGCGCTTTTACACAGCTAATGGCGAATCCCCTGCAATCCAAGTCCTGATCACTTGCTCAAATCTATCCTGCCTCAAAACAAGCAACGGAAGGAAAAGGCTGCAAACTGTTAAATGGAAAAAAATACCCAGGCACAGGGCAAATACCTTGAGTAAAATAGTAAAGGGAGGCAGGTGATTCAAAGCCAGCAGGCACTTTTAAAAGTGGTGCGCAGCCAGCAACAGCTGAAGGTTCGCCCGCTCCCTAAACGGAGAAATGAGGCTGCAAAGGGACGGCAGGACACAGGAGGGGTTGGATCGGGAAGGATAAAATTTAAGCAACCAGCAGCAAAAAAAACCAACAAAAACCAACCTCGAGCTCTGAGCCACGAGCGCAGTGAAAATCAGGAGGTAAAAAAGGAAGGCTGCTGGGGACTGGAGGGCAGAGGATGAGGGAGAGGGGGAAATTACACAAATCCGCCGCGTCTCAGCTGATCCGCTGGCTCCTTGAGCCTGCACACTAAAGAAACATACAGCTCCTGTCCCTCTTAGTCTCACTCTGATATACCAGTAGTTTATTAAATAGTTTAGTACAACATTTGATTCAGAATATTTCCCCCCTGTTTTCCTCCTCTGAAAACTAGGTGCGTCTTATGGTCCGGTGCGCCTTATGGCGCAAAAAATACGGTACTATCAGGACCCATGAAAGGGATGGAGCGAAGTCATGTGATTCAGAGAATCTCAGGAATTGATTATATAAATGTATTTGATATAAACTTGCAGTTGTAAAAAGCAATAAAAATATTTCAAAAAAAGGGAAGTCCATAGATTGACTATGCTTCTGTTGATTCATCATTTGCAAACCCAGAAATAGGGGCTCCTGTTTTTGAACTTTTCCTCGGAAACCGAACGTGCTCCTGAGCTTCCATTTTTATTGTTGCACAGCAAATTTAATTCCCCCCCATCGTAATTAAGGTTTTTTTTATCCCACTTGTATCCTTGAGCAGCTAATTTAAGTCTCCCCTCCCATTGTAATTAAAGCTTTTTTCATCCCATTTGTTCCCTTGCACAGCTGATTTAAGCCCCCAGCCCATCAATATTAAAGCCATTTCTGGTTGCAGTGTTCTGAGGTGACATTTGGTGCTTTAGTTTTTTCCTATTTTTTGCATTTTTGTTTGTGTGGCTTTTTCATTTTTGATTGTGGCTTCTTTTTTTAATTTTACCGTATTTTTTGCACCATAACACTCACTTTTTTCCTCCTAGAAAGTAAGGGGAAATGTCTGTGTGTGTTAAGGAGCGAATGCCTACGGATGGCGGGGTATCTGCTGCAGTCGTGAGCAGAGGATCCATGGTTCCCCTTCCTTCCCTCCTCCGTGGCTTGCTTTGAAACAACAAAGCGGGAGAAGAGCCCCTGCAGAGGTGCAAAAACATGCTTACAAAGCATGGATCCACATGGATCCTCAGGATTTTTGCATTGAGCTACCCCAAACTCACCGTCAGATCACATGTCTGTGCCCACAGCATGAACCACAAAAATCATACATCCATTGTTTTGTTTAGAATATTTTTTTTCTTGTTTTCCTCCTCTAAAAACTATGTGCGTGTTATGGTCGGGTGCGTGTTATAGAGCGAAAAATACAGTAATTTTTATCATCAACAATACTGTCTTCTTTATTTTATGGTACAGAACATTGATTACTGCTTTCATTTTATGGATCAATGGTCTTGTTAGATAGTAAAATTCATGTTAAATTGCTGTTTTAGGGGTTGTTTTTAAAAGTCTGGAACGGATTACCGTATCTTTCGCCCTATAGGACTCACTTTTTCCCCTCCAAAAATGAAGGGGAAATCTGGGTGCGTCCTATGGGGCGAATGCATGCTTTCGCTGAAGCTTGGAGAGCGAGAGGGGTTGGTGCGCACCGACCCCTCTCGCTCTCCAGGCTTCAGGAAGACATCCGCAGCCTAGGCAGCCCTGCGGGAGGTCCGCAGGGATGTCTAGGCTGCGGATAGCAGTCTGCTTCCCGGAGCGTCGGGCGCCCTGAAAGCAGAGCGCCCCTCGCGCCGGGCAGACATCCGCAGCATGGGGAGCCCTGCAGGAGTTCCCCGCAGGGCTCCCCACGCTGCGGATAGCAGCCTGCCGCCCAGCGCGAGGGGCCCCCTAAAGCAGAGCGCCCCTCTCACCGGACAGACATCGGCCAGCCCCACAAGCTCGGGGGACAGCAGGGAGGCCAGCGCCGCCATCCCGCTGTTCCTGGACCTGGTTCGGTTTCCCCGACCTGCTTTTGGGGGGGAAATAAAGGGGGGGGAAATTCCTTTATCTCCCGCCAAAAAACTAGGTGCGTACTGTGGGACGGAAAACACGGTACTCCATTTTGCCTTACTTTCTTTTAAAAAATATATATATTTATTGAGATTTTACAAACATTAAAAAGTTTCAAAGTTTAGACTTAACAAATAAGAACAAAGAATAACCTTAAAAAAAGAAAAAAACTACAAAAATACAAAAACAGAACACATGAAAAATACAAAATAGAAAACAGTTAACAAAAAGAAAAAAAAGAAAAGAAAAAAATCAATAATTTCATATCTTATACTTCATTTACTAGCTTCCTGACCTACTCACGCCTCCCTTTTTGTATTCCAGTTCATATATTTAATTCAGCAAATCCTTACCCTCTGTCATTTATCTTTACTCAATATCTTAACCTATTATAACCATATGTTTATAACCATTATCAATCCATATTTACATATTCTTGATAATCTTTTTACCAATACCACTTATTTTCCATCCGACATCATTTTAACATTCCTTAATTTAACAGTATTTCTGCAAGTAGTCTCTAAATTTATTCCCTTCTTCTTCCACCAACTCTTCTCCCTGGTCACGGATTCTGCCAGTCATTTCTGCCAATTCCATGTAGTCCATCACTTTCATCTGCCATTCTTCCAGTGTGGGTAAATCCTGTGTCTTCCACTACTTTGCAATCAGTATTCTTGCTGCTGTTGTTGCATACATAAAAAAGGTTCTATCCTTTTTTGGTACCAATTGGCCGACTATGCCCAGGAGAAAGGCCTCTGGTTTCTTCAGAAAGGTATATTTAAATACCTTTTTCATTTCATTATAGATCATCTCCCAGAAAGCCTTAATCTTTGGGCACGTCCACCAAAGGTGAAAGAATGTACCTTCAGTTTCTTTACATTTCCAGCATTTA